TCTCCTCCCCGCTCCCCCCATTCCCCACCACGTTTTCCATCCTGTACTACCAAAACAAGTAGCAAATACTTGCAGTAAAACTAGTACATCAGCCTGTATGCATTGTGATGTAAGGTTTATATTTCATAGGTTATTGGCCTACTTGTTGTTGTGTGGTAACTACACCTTTTACTCCACTTATGACCTATGCAACTTATGACCATCCACACTTACAGTCATTCCACACACACACACCCACAAATTCAGTAAAATAAAAATAGTAAATAAGGAAATATAACCACATGGGTAGAATAAAAAGGTCCCAAAACTGATGCTTAGATTGTGGAGCAGGGTCAAGACATCAAAGTCTGTCTGAGCCTATCATGTATCGCAGACAGCGTGGAACCACAGTTTCAATGAAAATAGTGTTAAAGAATATAAGTTTGACTTACGACTAGTTTGACTAAAGACCTGGTAGTCGGAATGGAAATCAGTTGTAAGTCCAGGAGACCCTGTAAAGGCTCTATCATTACCTGATTGAACACATTTGTGGTTTTGAAATAGAAAACACGTCAATAAAACTGAGAACATTTTTAAAGCAGTTATTTCTTTTTTTTTTATTTTAGGGCAAATGGCAACCCTAGTCTGTTTTCTTTATTTTGAGTTTGCTGTCGTAATAATTGTAGCATACATCTTTAGAGATTTCAGCCAGATGTTTGCCTCTAGATACAAAGCTCCCCAGCCTGTGGGTCATGACCCACTACTACTGATTTAAATAATATTTGCAACCTTTATAAATGACATGAATGGTTTACCTGTTTCCATAATGATTCAAAGCAGTCTGGCAAAAGAAGGACTGAAATTTGTTTGTGTGAGCAATTTGAAATGAAAGATAAAACATGCTGAAATTGTAAGACATAATATTTACATTGTAAGTCATTTATTGATTTGCTTTGCCAACTTCACCTGGCTTGAGAATCCACAGTTATCGTCCTTTCGATATTTTCTACTGGTGACTTGGCAAATGAAGAGGCAGGCAAAATGGCTTGTTATGTCCCACTTGGAGTTAAACTGATACATGACAAGCTAGACATTATCAAGGCCCTTTGGGTGCTTGGGAACATTGTAGAGGCACGAATAGGTCATCACGGTCTGGAGAAAATGGTGTAGCAGGGAGTTTCTTGATGAATCTAGTACAAGGTGTCGTTCCTACAATTTGTCTGATAGTATCATTATTCACTGAATCTCGGATCATTGGGTTGGTGGCTTTTCTCAGGCATCTCATCTTGCAGGTGGTGATTTTGCTTATATGGGCTTTAGATAGCGTCCATGTCTGGCACTAGTAGCTTAAATTTGGAATGAATATGCTGTTTTTAATCTCTCTCTTTACACTCATAGATATGTATGGATGTCTTAATAATGGTAACAATTAGTATATAAGTGCACTTGTTTTCTGACTTCTGGTTTCTATTTCTCTGCAATTCTACCATCTTGCGTGATTATACTCATAGATCCACCCAGCCGCAGATGTGTTGCAGTCAATTAGAAAAATTCCTCAACTTATTCTTAGACTTCATTTACGTCCTTAAACAAGTCCTAAGCAAGTAGTGAAAACATTGACCCTGAAACCCTAAATTCTGTTGTCAGATCTTTTTCACAACTACCTCTAAGTCCCTTGTCAAACTTCTGGAAAAGTTTTCTGCTGGTGTTTCTTCTGTCACTCAGCCTGCTGCCGCCTCACCATAGATTTGTGATGTTCAGCAAAATCTATCAGATACTTCTGGAAGTCATCATCGAATGACTATAGCCAGTGCTGAGTTCAGTTTTGCACAGCCTTCACATTTGCGTCAATGAATTCTAGGGTAGCACTGGGGACTTCAGATCACTGCATCCACAATTGCAAGAGGTCTTTCAGCATGCATGTTATAAAGTGGGGCAGAAGATGTCTTTGCAGTTGATGCAGCAGATGGGTCAGACAAGAGGCCATCTAAGTAGTCTTCAAACTGCCCGTTAAAGGTTTTAATAAAAGCTGCCGCTAATGATTTTAATACTTCATGAAAATGTTCAAGCTGAAACCTAGTTTGCCTTAATCATGGTTCGTAACCAAATTTACCAATCAATTTCAAGGTCCTTTTCTTCGTTTTTTTTCAAGGTTTTGTCGCAGTAATACTGGCAAGGTATTTTTTGCCTTGTTCGAGGGTGTACCGAGCACTCATGGTACTTTATATGTGCGCACACATGTTGGTATACCAGCAGAGATATAGTTTTTACATTTTTTCTAGACTTGGTGGCAGAGGGGAGCAAATTGAAGTCATGTCTGTTTTAGATCTGGTACCTGAAAAAAAAAGGGGGGGGGGTGTCATACAGAAGGGGAGAAGACTGATGCTGAGGTAGAGGGGGAGCGACAGTGCAAAAGACAGAGGAAGACAGAGTGGGGAAAGAGGGACAAGTAGGTAGAGATAGACAGATGAGGAGGGGGAAGAATGGAGAGAGAGAGAAGGAGGAAAACAATGACAGAGAGAGGGAGGGTGAGAGAAGGAACAGATAGAGAGGAAGATGCAAGCAGAGAGATGCAGACAAAAAAGCGGGAGAGACAGGGCGATATAGAGAGGAAAACAGACAGGCATACCTTCATCAGATATACCACATCTAAATGTCCCTTTCTACTGTCATCTTTATTATATTTAGAACAGCTGCATCCATGGCGCCTTTCTACTGTCATCTTTATTATGTTTAGAACAGCTGCATCCATGGCGCCATTACAAAACATGAATACAATCTCCAAGCACATGCAAGTGAAGCAAGACCCTTTGATCTACCAAGTTTTCATGAATGTTAACACACATCACTTTTGCCTGTTTGTGTTCAACAACCTGTGTCAGATAAATGACAGCTGCCATTTAAATACGTCATTAAGACAATCCCGACATAATGCTTGAAGATGTTGGGATTAATCTTCTTGTTCTGCCAAAAGGCTATGAATGCACCTGCATCCCAGACCCTACCTTATTTCTCAGAGGACTTGTTATTTAGTCTGTTTATGCTGGCGACTCTCTTTTCTTCCCAGCACACTTCCTGGTACTCGTTTAAAAGCTGGGTTAACGTTAGAAGTAGTAAAATACCAAATGAATTTCAAAAATCTGATTTAATAAAGCCCTAATCTGAGTTGTGTTGAGTTGAATTGATTCAAGAACCGACATCATAGCACCCGGGGCATTTCCATTAGTGCTCCGTCCCCATCTTCAGCAGCCAGTGAAGAGTTAAGCCCGAAAAAGTGCTGGGCGTCAATTATTCAGAATGCAGTCCCTGGGAAAGCAATTACAAAAAAAAAGAGGAGAAACATCTGGGGCTCTTCAGACCAACTAATGTAGCACCGAGCCTTTGTTTCTGCTTTTTTTTCGTTTTCATGACTATCTTCCTGCATTTATTATTACCCCAACTATCCCAACGACAAGTAATAAGTACGTGTATTTCAATTAAAAGTGCTCTCCATGTGGGTTCCGGGGGCCTATTGTGGCGAAACCAGAATAGACCCACAGCCTACCCAGAAAACTTCATTTTATGCCATATTATTACCAGAAAATGTCAAATAAAGTGTAACATTGTACTCACTTCACATCAAAAGCACTAGATTGAATTCTTCACTGGAACCAATGGAAGATACAGCGTGTTCCTTTTCGGGTGTAAAATCTTTAAGCATTTTCTAAGATGGGTTGAAGTCTTTGCAACTCATCTATAATGATGGCATATTTCTTGTTCTGAAAATCATCAATAAGGTCATCCTTGAGGCGATATAATATTTTGGTTATTTATACGATGGTCTCCCCATTTACACACCACTGGTTGTAGGTCAACTCCGTTAAGTTGGTTGGACTAATCTACCACGGTCGAGGTTATGGGTGTCGCAGTCTGTTGTTGTCTGCCATTTACGTTTTTATTTCCGAGAAAGAGACGGCCTGTGACATAGGTTTTGTTACTATCTACGGGAGTCGTGTGTTAGACCCAGTATTTAAATGTTTTAGAAGTGTTAAAAACTCTGGCATGGTGAAATATACAACACGCGGTATGAGCGCGAGTGCAGAATATCCCTGTGAACTTGTGAGACAGTCAGATCGCTTGAGGCCGACCTATCAGAGGTGAGGTGGTCAGTAGATCGTCCAATCAGAAGCGAGCTAGTGTGTAGCTGTGTGTAAATGGGGAGATCAGGATAAAATTTACAAGTATTTTTTTTTTTATTAGGCATGAACGTTTAGTTATATGCAACTGTATGTGCTCCAAATGTTCTCCCAACGACCATGCGCTCTCCTGATTTCACTTAGATGATCATTTGTGCGTATTGCACAATGGTAGGTCATGCCTACAGCAAGTTGCAACTCTGCTGCCTTTAACTTTATCATTACTTTGCCTAGGAGTCATTGTTGTAATAAGCGGTGACTGGCTTTTTTGACGGAGTTTTCATCCTGTGTTTTTCGGATTTGTCATGATTTGATATGCTACTAATTCTTGGTGCAACAGTGCACTGACGCAGTTTACAATATGCTGCGTCTCATCCGTTTGAAGATCTTTGAGGCGGGGGTATGTTTTCTTCCAATAAGTATTATACTTGCGATATCATAAGATACTTTCCATTTTTTGAGGGATGACGTTGCCGTTTGTAAAAGTAATAAAATCTCTCACAGATAGAACTAGGTTTATATCCTCTCTATTTGTTGTCCTCAAGTAGTATCTGAACAGTCTGAATCACTTTGTATCAGTGGTGGATTTTGGTTTCTAGTAGATTAACATAAATTACAGAGGGTGTTGATTTATCGCAGTCACGATACGTTTAGGAAGACAACAACATATGCAATAAGTGATGACGCGAATCTCCGTTAGTCTGTACCAGGACATCACAACTAAGTCAAACTGAAAAAAAAAAGATGTTAACTGTAGGCTTACATTGCTTTTTGTAAATCTGCGTGTTTCTCACGGAGGAACCATGAAGAAAATGTGAGCACGTCTTGATAAAAAAAAAAAAAAAGCTAGGAAAAACCCAAATATCCCACTTCATTATCGTATGCCAGTTCAATTTCAAATTTGTGGAATCTGGCATCAAAAATGCCAATATGAACAATATGGCAACCCTGCAGCTGGGACCCTTCCTTTTGTATGACAGAGCAGGCAATTACAGGACGTGACACACCACAAGCTCTTTCCAAAGCTTGTTTTGATCGTACGAAAATATACGGTACGCTTTTTTCCCGGCATAACAAGGGCAGGTGCAAGAGAATTTCAGTTGGCACGGCATCTGCTGTTAGAACAATGAACTCTGCGTGTCCTCGATTCAGCGTCTTAGTGGCTTCATTGGCCCCTTTTTTCAGCTGCTCATCTTTGGAAGCCTGCCGTAGAAGTTCTAAAAGCTGCTCTATCAATGTCTAATCTGCCAGTGGATATGCTTTGCTGCTTATTTCTTCAGCCATCGTTGTTAAAAAGTCTTTAAATTTAATTAAGATGTGAGTCTTTTTATTTCAACAACCTCTCTGCGAAAACACTTCGCTTCACTGAGTTGAGTTGAATCAAAAATGGACATCACAGCGCTCAGGGCATTCCTATGCATGCTCCGTCCTCATCTTCAGTAGCTAGCACAGAGTTCCAATACTGATGGTACCCGTCACAATCTGGTTAAATGTCCGCCTTGCCTTTCCTCTGAGTGTTTTCAGCCGACCAAACTTTCTGGTTACACCCAGGTACCTCATTCTCTCAAGGCCATTATAATCTTCTTTCTCTACTGATTCCGTTGCTTGTTCCCAAAGGGCCTTGATCACATCTGCCTTGTCATGTATCAATTCCCCACCCAGTTTTGCAGATCCAGCCAATCTGTCTGCCTGCTCATTACCCACCACGCCGGCATATCCTGGAGAAAAGATCAAAAGTATGCTTAACTACCTGTGACCTTTCCAGTGAAGCTTGAAACTCTGCTCGAAGCATCACTGCCTTCACTTTTTTCAGCATGCTTTCAGAGTCTGTTACAATTACGACACGTGTATGCATTTTTGTTCTCTAGCCACAGAAGAGCTGCAGTTACCACCTCCACCTCCAGTCTTATGATAGATGTTGTGGTGTCATATGCCAGGCTGTCTTGCACTAAATATTTTCCATTGGCTTTCGCTACGAACCCCCAGGCACTTCTCTTTCCTCTCAGCACCGAACCATTTTTATCGATAATCACCTAGGCGTGATTTTTCGCGAATCAACTGTTGGACTTCAACCTCTGTTGCACCCGCTGGCCACTCTCTCCATACCCGGCCCAATGTTATCATAACCCTACACAGGTCAGACTTTTCCGCTGGTACTCTGACCCACTCCTCTCCTCGCTTAATGTTCTCTAGCATGCATACTTGTCTTATTGTGTCTTCTGCTTGAGCCATCCACCATTTACCCCTTTTCAGCCTCTGACCCTTGCCTGCAGCCAAATCTTCATACAGAGGGTGTTCCCTTTCTGCAGCTACTCTGACTTAGCCTGCAGCACTTTTAGCCTATCTTCAATAGTCGGCAATGCAAGGATGTATCGCATGCACACAATCGGGGTGTTTCTTGTACAACTCTGGATCAGCCGCATTGCTTTATTCTGTATGCGCTCCAGTTTGACTAGCTGACTCTTTGAGACAGTGAGTATCCCCGATCCATAATCAGTCACTGAGATGATTGAGTGCTGGTAAAGTGCTATAATCTTTAGTGCACTTTTTTTTCTGGTCAGTCTCCCAAATGCCCAGCCTGGCCGTCCGACTACCTGAAGGATATTACGTCGGTAAACCAGACTGAACGGGGAAACTGCCAGGCAGATTTTTTTAGATGTAAAAGTGCGATGTACTGCTTAAACCAAACTTGAATGGTGTTTCTAGGACATCCGCTAACTTTTCATATATTTAGAACATTAAGAGGTGTAGCAGCTGGCTAGGCTGACCACAACATACCCTCGATAAATTACAGAGAAAACATTAAATGACTGACTGACTGACTGACTTTTTACCCCACCAGGACATCACACAAGCGATAAGCACACAATGTGGCAGCATGTGGGTGAGGATCTCCGTGGAGAGGTCCCAGAAACCGCGTTCAGCATTTAGGCCATATGTATGGCCAGGCTATATTGCGGCCCCTGGCAAATGCCAGAGTAGGGATTCAAATAACGAAAAATTTCATCCTAAAAAGGACGGGAAGTAAGAACTCTAACATTATATGACCGCTTGATTACGACTAAATCTGCTTATTTATAGCGGCAATCACACCTAACTTCTGTGTAATGCATTATAGAAAGATGTCGAGTATTTTTTCAATTTTTATTTATTTGTTTCAACAAGCCCCTATCCTGTTACTTATATTTATGTTCGACTGAAAAATAAAATGCACCTGACAATTAAATTGAAAAGCAGGATGACAACTCCATAGACTAAAGTGTTCTAAGTTTAGCAGGTTATTTCTTCCATTAATAAATGCAGGAATATAGTCATGAAAACGAAAAAAAAAAAAAGCAGAAACAATGGCTCGGTGCTACATTAGTTGGTCTGAAGAGCCTTTTACAAATGCTTGGTAAGGAGTAATCAGTCTTTTTTTCTCTCCAAAACTGGCGTCCCGTGGCCCACACAAGGTGCTGATTTGATGATATTTTGTTGTTGTTGCTACAAAGCATAGACATACACAGTGTGTAATTAGAAGTAATTTACACTGGCCAAAGCTGGCAATTAACATAATAATATTATATCATACCTCACAAAATTAAGTAACATTTACTTCAATTAGTAACTGCTGTATGTACACAATGGCTGTGTTTTCTTACACTTCCTTCTTTAATACCTAAATTCCCAGTCGACTACTCCTCTCCTCCCTCCCTCCATCCTCCCATCCCCATGCTTCCCTATTTTTTTTTCGCTATGAATCTGTAACCATCTAAAACTCAAGTCAATTAATTCACTGTGTTAAAACTGACTGTTGAGCTTGAATAACCAACATGAGTAATCTGCGTGATTGAAAGAGGCTAGAAGACAAAGACAACTCTACTTGTCACAAACATCAGAACAGACAGTTAACATTCTCACTGGCTACGTTATGAGACTCTGCGGTGACTTGAATAACTAACTATGAGCGCTATGTTGTTCGTGGAGCAGGGGCCAACATGAAGTTGTCTGTCAAACCCACACAACAGCTATAAATGCCAGGACTGGTTTGCCAAGTCCTGGAAAGGATTACAACTAACTAACTTTACAGGATGCTGGAACTGTTGTTTCCGTCGACCCAAGCTGCCAGTTCCACCCCGCCCAACATGGTTACAACCGATAATTACCGCCACGCAGTGGGTAGCAAGGCTGAGTGATTTTCGGTACAGAAGGTTTCCAAAAGACCGCAAATTGTCTAACATCTTATTCCCTAGAGCAGAGGTGTTGACGACACTCATCTGTATCTGAACTCGAAGGATGCTGAATCTGTGTATGGTGCGCTTATGGGAATGTGCTAGTGCTGTGATGTCGATTACTCAGCTCAGCGAATCATTCGATAATGACATTATTATCGCGAGGGTGGGGGAAGGGGGGGGGCCTATTGGACCCTACTTGATGGCTTCACCTTTAGTAAATGGGTCGGGTTATTTATAGTGGGGTTGCAGACCCAGCGCTCATAGTGCAGATCCACCCAGTCACATTGGATTGCAGGTTACTTCCTAGCTAGAGGGGTGGCCCAATACAGCTGTGTTATACAATTAAACGTTGTTTCTGAGATGTACCACTGATGTATATTTAGGTTCGTGTCTACACAGATAGACCAGCATAATACGCAAGTAGAAATGGAGGAACAGAAGTTTACATTGAGCACCCAAATAACACCAGGGAAACAGCCAAAATATCAACAGGAAAGCACTGTCACAAATATGTTGCAGATGTTTAAGCCATCGCGATAGCAACATAGGAACGGTTAAATATCAATCATATTTCACAACCCGTGGTATTCCTGACAGATGCAAAAGAAGTATTTCGTGCACTCTAATCTGGAAAATTACCTGGTATATCCGAACTAGACAACCAGTGTAAGGCAGCTATGCAGAGCAACCTAACGTGCCAGTCCTTTGTCAATAGAATTAATCAAGTAACAGAAAGTGTATTGATCGGTCCTCATAGAAAGAAGTAGAAAGATAGAAGAACACACTAGACAACATAAAAATCGAAAGCTATAGTTACCGTGCAGGGAATTGAACCTGTCACCTCCAGACGGCGTCTGCGCCTCGCCATGGATACAAGTGCACTAACAACATGGTCAACTAGGCAACCCCCCCCCCCCTCTCTAAAAGGTGTCTTGTTGGCCATATCTATCGTACAGCTTGAAATCCACAACTATGGAATACGGACAGAATTCATTTCAAACCATTGAGATGGCACCATAGGTTACATAAATTTATATTAACGAAGCATTTGTCGAATAACAAACACAGCAACAATTTACGAACACAGTAGACCTTAATGCTTTGTCTAGAATACACAAACATTTAAGAAAGGTATTTGATTGGTTGGTTCCGGTGGGTATACGTCATTCCTATAAATAAACAGAGGGGGTTATAATTTTAAGTTGTGTATCTATCCAGTTTCGTCCTTTTTAAGACGAAATTTTTTGTTATTTTAAGCCCCACGCTGGCTTTTGCCAGGGGCCGCAATATAGGCAGGCCATACATATGGCCAATTGTCTGAACGCGGTTTCTGGGACCTCTCCACGGCGATCCTCACCCACATGGTGGCACTTTGTGTCATCGGGTGTTTATCGCTTGTGTGATGTCCTAGTGGGGTAGAAAGTCAGTCAGTCAAACAGAGGCGGAACCTTTGAGGCCGTTAAATATTATGAATTAATCAAGTAACAGAAAGTGTATTGATCGGCCCTGATAGAAAGAAGTAAAAAGATTGAATAACACAATAGACAAATTTGTCAACAGAAGAAAAGAATAATTACATCAATCAGAAAGTCGCTTACATTGGCACAAGACGATTACCATGTTATAGACAGAACAGAGCAAGTCACTATACTATTATACGCTCCGAATAGGACACAGTTGACTTAGAAAACACAAATTAAGATTGGCGAATCAGCCATGGGCACATGAGGATCGGCACCTGGGGGAACAGATCATGATCTCAGTGTTGTTACTGGCACCTTTCCGTTTTTCCAGGCGATTATTTTGTGCTATGCGGAGGCGTGGGACTCACATCACTTGGCAATGGCGACTAATAAGACCCACTTGCGTTAAAAAAAAAAGAGTAGATAACTAACGCACTCACACATAGATACGCGCGATGACAGCACATGCATACCCATCACACAAAGTTTGTGGTAGAAGTGAGAGAGGTCCGTTAGGTACTATCAACTCCGGAAGTACTGCTGGCATCAAAGGGAAAGAATGCTGGTGAAACAGAAACCGTGAGCGAGGAAAGACACAAAACCGATCCCCGTCCATAGTTCGTGAAACATTTCTGCTGTTGTTTTTCTAAACACTCTCCACAACAATGAACAACAAGTTTGAAGCGTACGTAAATTCCTTCCTTTGAATGGTTTCGTTTTAGAAGTTATTTTGAGTTATGTTTTGAAATGACATCGGAGAATATAAAAGCCTAGAAGCAAAACTGTGAAACTCTCTTCCAGTTGTACTTTCACTTCAGTTTAAGTTTAAGCTCAAGAAACTAACTACTTATCCTTTGCACACACACACATGCAAGGTACAAAAAATTAATTTTAACATGTATTAATTAGCTACTTCAGCGAAATTTTTAAAATGAAAAATGCCCTCTACTCCTCTACACCAATAAAACCAGCACAGCTAGATAGCTGTAAACAATCTCTTTCCAATGGTACCTCATTTAGGCTTGTATGTCATTTCTGAGCTGAGATATGTAGGTTTTTGTGGAGATGAGATGTAAGAAACAGCCGCTAAAACTTGTGACCCAGAAACAAGAAGTTTTTCTCTGCGCAACCTACTGCGCAGTTCTGAATTGGCTTTGTTGACATTGGACTGTCATTGGACAAGATGGCAGGCAATGAGACTCAGCCGCATGCGATTGCCTAAAAAATGTCACTGTAAATCTAAACGGCCAAAAACGGGAAAGAAATTTTATATACAAATGTAAAATTGGACGGAGAATTCAATTATAACTAGCATTACCACATCTGGTAATGTTAAAGCCTAAAGCCAACCTCGAATTTACCGCTATTTTCAATCAAACTGATAGACTAACAGAATAACAGAGGACGTCCGGCTGTCGTAGACATGCGCTGTTAATCGAGTTCCTTCCCGCCGTTTTCAGCTATTTAGAGTGGGTGAAAACCACATCAATCACAAAATTTCATGAGAGATTAGGACCCATCCCGAAACCCCAGCCGACATTTCCGAAACAAGTTTCAAACGGTTTCCATGGCAACGGAAATTGACGAAAAGATCGCAAATTTCCGAAACTGTAGTCGCTATATTAATATTAAAAAAAACTAGGCCATCCTCCGAATAACGGACTCAAAAGATGGCGGCCAAAAACAGGGTCTAAGTCACGTGTCAATTGCGCACTTCTGGTGACTTAATTTGCTGTTTTCCGGCGACTACCGCCACCGCCAAGAGTATCCCATGCCGGGTGAACTGTGTGGGTAACTCTTGGCGGTGGCGGTAGTCGCCGGAAGTGCGCAATTGATACATGATTGAGGCTCTGTTAGGATGTTTTTGCCGCCGCCATCTTTTGTGCCCGTTATTCGGAGGATAGCAAAAAACTATATATATATATACACATATATATATATATATATATATATATATATATATATATATATATATATATATATATATATATATATATATATATATATATATATATATATATATATATATATATATATATATAAAGTCTATTCATTTATATATTCTTGTGTGAATGGCTAACACAATTTTTATGAATCACACTGACATTTAGTGACATCTCAACATTTATAATAAATTATATTCAAATTAGCTATGTTGATTGCTTATTTATGCATGCTTTTTTGTTACTTAATGCAAACAACTAAATTTGACAATTTAGGTAAATTTTTCGGAAGAATGAAACCTGGGCTCTCCTCCGAACTCCTACCCCGGCATTATGGCGGCTAAACAAATACCTTAACAGGGCCTCAGTCCTATGAAAAATGCAGATTTGTCGGACTTCCTGCCGAGGAACAAATGGCGCCAAAACTAGGATCGGCTCCAAATAACAAAACAAATGCTCTAACAGGGTCTCAGCGATATGTTAATTACGGACCTGTTTCTGCGACTATGCCACACTGCCGACAGTATCCCCTGCACCGCTACGCACGGCACGGTTGGGTGCTAAACTAGATGGCTGGGACTTGCGGGCAGCAGCTACTGCATCTCCTGCAACTTCCTCCAGTCTATTTGCTCGTAAGTCCCAGGCATCCAGTTCACATGCAGGAGATACATTTGGCTGTGAGTTTAATCGTAAGAACACTATCGCTAATCTGCATCGGAGCGCGTGGTCTCCCCGTCATGTCGCTATTATCGTCTGTAATGTTACATGTTTAGAAATTGTCAATGGTCACTAGTATCATCTGCAGAAACGCTCAAAATTGTAAACAGTCGCTATTATCATCTGCTACTATCGTCTGCAGTGTTGCATCTCTTGAAATTGTCAGGTAATCCTAGTTTTGCAGCGATTTGTTCGTCGCAGGAAGACCGCATTTTTCACAAGACTGAGGCCCTGTTAGGGTATTGTTTGGCCGGGGTAGAAGTTCGGAGGAGAGCCAAAGCCTGCATAAGTCATAACACTTGTGTTTTGGGAAACAAGGACCATGGGAACTTTTTAGACACCTCTGACACATCATTGTACCCCTCTTCCTACTTCTGCTGTTCTGGTTGCTGTGGTGCAACAGTCCATTTGATCACTGTTGGGCACAGGGAACCCCCCCCCCCCCCCCCCCCCAAAAAAAAAAAAACTTGTATGAAAGCTGCAATTAAACAGCCCACATATGCAAGGAGTGATCTTATTGGCTGATATGAAGACCAGCCAGCTAATCTCAAGGATTATATTACCAGGCCGACTGATTGGCCATGCCATCTTTTTTGCTGTTGGGTCAACAGATGAGTCCAGTCCCTAAAGAGTTTTTAAAAAGTGTAATTTTTTTAAAAGATTTAGAAGGGTAATATTAATGCTGTGTGAAATAGTAATTTTCAGTTTAGAAATTTTACAGAAAAACATCGATGAAACAGAATTTAGAAAGTCGAATTGTAAGAGCCCCTGAATTTATGGATTTACAGACGAATAGCATAGGGCATATATGTTTCACTATTTCAGAAAGGAAAAACTCAACCGCTTACAATTTAAACTCAAAGAGAATTTTATGACCAGATTTATGTATATAAAAAAGGTCCCTTCCATACCATTGGCATATTGGAATATGGTGCTAAACCAAAATATATTTCTTAGATAAATCAGCACATTAGAGAGACATATGGTCAGCATTATGGTTTTAAAAAATCAGCCTCCATGTATTTGAACCCAAAACTTTCAGGCCAGCTATACTCCTGTAGCTCCCAAACATGTCTGTGATTATATGAAATTGTTGGTGATGCGGTGCCACACAGAACACACAGCAGGATAAAGAAAAAGAGACCTAAGCACAAGACACGACCAGGTGGATGGCCAGTAGTAGACATTAGGCCTATATAAGGACTGATCTTTGTGAGGGCTAGTCTTCTTGAGGGCCTACTCCTTGTGGGGGTTCAGTGGCCTCCTTTTTCTTCTTCATCTTCTTCTCCTTCACCAGCTGTAAACTCCGGTGGAAAGTTCTGGTTGTTCATCCACTTCTGGACTGCAGTCCTGTTCCAGAACCTGAGTGTTGCGTGTGCATCCATTTGACAGATCTGTATGCAGACTGTTGATTCCTTGCCTCTCAGGCAGATGCACTCCGACTTCAAAGGAAGCTCCCAATTAGTCGACTCTTACAACATGCTTTTGGGAAGGCAGTGGGTCTATTCTTGTTTTTCCCATAGTAGGGCCCCAGAACCCACACGGGGAGCCTCCTTTTTAAAGACAAAAAGAAAAGATCCACTGCATTATAAAAAAAAACTTGTAAAAAGTGACTTATTTAAATTAGGAGTGTTTCATCCAAAGTCAGAATGCAGATACCTAAGAAGTAAAGAACCACAGTCTACATATAAAAAAGACAAATATGTAAAATGGATGTACAGGCAAAGCTGAATTTCAGGAACGAGACTAAAGTCTAGAAGTGGACAAACAGCCAGAGTTTACAGCCGGTGAAAAGTAAAGGAAGGAAGACTTACCACTGAGCAGCATCATCCCACAGCAGTGGAACCCTCAGTAGCATAACATCTGACTGGCATGGGTTGCCTTGAAAGAAATATAATGCAAGATTTGTCTGCCACAAAGATTGATATAAGACAAACATCACAGACCACAATAATAACCAAGGCTTACCATAAAGTCAGTTAATTTTAAGGTTAAGTAGGACATTACTTTTCTCATTAAATGAATTAATATTGCAAGCATTCCATGTCCCTATCATATAAAAGTAAAAAAACCTTTTTATGATAGGGAGTCGCAGCTGGATTTGAAAGCGAGTCTCCTATCGACTGTGCTAACGCAGCCCCTTATCATAAGAGTATTTAATCTGTTTCACTCATTCACCTGATGAGAGTCCGGAGCTACTTGGTGTACATGACTCTCCCTGCTGGGCAAGCCTGCTTCTATGGTGCACCCATTATAACATACATCAGTTATCTTTGAAAGCATGTTGTTGTGGCTGATATCCCCACATTTCAAATAGCAGTGCACCCATTATAACATACATCAGTTATCTTTGAAAGCATGTTGTTGTAGCTGATATCCCCACATTTCAAATAGCAGTGCACCCATTATAACATACATCAGTTATCTTTGAAAGCATGTTGTTGTAGCTGATATCCCCACATTTCAAAAAGCAGTGCACCCATTATAACATACATAAGTTATTTTTGAAAGCAGTTGTTGTAGTTGATATCCCCACATTTCAAATAGCAGTGCACCCATTATAACATACATCAGTTATCTTTGAAAGCATGTTGTTGTAGCTGATATCCCCACATTTCAAAAAGCAGTGCACCCATTATAACATATATTATTTGTCAATCAAAACAAGTTGTATCTGATAACCCCCACATACCAAATAGTGTTGTACCAGGGATTTTGTTGGTGGTATGCAGTGGTACACAGTACCAACTCCTGTGTAGGCATCATATTTTTTTTCAACGATACTGTAATTATTTGTGTTTTGTACAGCACCTTTTTTTTCTGGAAACTTTGTGGTGACTACTGGCACTTTGATTCTAGAAACAAAGAGCCTTGGTTGCAGCCATTAAAAAATGTACCAGTTATAATTTAGAATTCAGTGCATGTTGCTTATTGTATCTTATATTCCCACTGAAGAAAGGGGTACACTCAATTTACAATTTATCAGTTATCATTAAAAGTATGTTTTCTTGTAGTTGATATCCCCCACATAAAAAATGGGTGCATCCATTATAAAATTTATTAGCTATCATTCAGTGCATGTTGTTTGTTGTAGCTGATATCCCTACATATGAAATAGGTGCACTTATACTAAAATATGTCAGTTATCATTGAAAGCATGTCTACTGTAGCAGATATTCCCACCTATGAAAATAGTGAATATAGCATGTCTTGTGTTTGTGTGTCTTGTAGTAGAAATAGTTGGACAATTGTTTATGGCGTAGACCACAATTATATTTGCACTGCTATGTAGCACATTTCACTCTATATTAATCACATATGTAGTTAGTAGTGTTCTTGTATAGATTATATAATCTGCATGGCATAAATATTGTGTAATCATCCTTGCTATAATTGTGTGTCTGTCATACGACGTTACGTAGGTCTCCCAATTAATTTTCCCATTCTTGGTTTGTTTAAATATCATGGATGGAATTCATCGCCTTTGGCCTCTCTCATAAACATTCGTCTCAGGGAGGGGGCTGTGTAGTCTCAAGGCATGGTGTCTGCCTCGAGTGCTAGAGGTTCCGGTTTCAATTTTTGGTAAGGGCTGGGGTTTTTTCACGTGGACTTGGACTTCTAGTAATTCCCGCTGGTCTCTGGGTAGTGAGATTGGACGCCCTTGTGCACTGTTGCACACGTAAAAAATCCTTTGGCAGTTGGAAATCGAAAAGAGTAGCCTAACAGTGCTGCCCGGGCAAAAATGTTGAGTTATAAATCTACCCAAAAGTATTTCAGAATCCTTGCCAGTGCTACAGAGCCGGTGCACTGTGCTGAGCTTCTTCGGGCTCAGACTTGATTACTTAGGGGTTACTACCCGTGTGCCATGATGTTGATCCTTTGTTCAGACCTCAAACCTCATCTCAGAGATTCTTTTGGCTGTCTTTGTTGCTTCAGTCCATTTGTGTCTCATTGAAGTGCCTCTTAGCTAATTCTTTTTTCACTGTCCCCAGATCGCCATCTTCTTTGTCTTGTCACTGTTATCAGCAGTTATGCAGACACTTCTTTGATTTCTTTTTCTGGATTCATTCCATTTTAAGTTCATCACCTTCCTTAGACATTTGTTTATGAAGGCATTTAGCTCCACGTCTTTGATGGTTCTCCAGCTTTTATTGACGTACATTAACATTGAAGTACCATCAGATTAATGTTCTCGCCTAGGTTAGCTTGTGTAATTTATTTTGAATGTTTCCTAGAATAATATTCACAAGTCGGCATACTTCACTGTTTGCTTGTTTTGGTTATGTTTTTTTTTCAGGCTTTCTTGTAGAAGTAGGTTTTTTTTTTTTTTTACTGTGTTTCTGCCTTTGTTGTTTTTTTTATCTTATCATGTTTTAGTTGTTTTTACTTGCATTTTTTCATCTTTCTTTCAGCGAAGTTAATGATGAGGTGAACAAAGATAGGTAAGAAGAACAAGTTTTCATCAGGGACAGCCAAAGGAAAACAGACATAAACAAATGGACTGCATCTACCTCATGCAGTGTCCTACATTTGTGTATACATATCTTAATCTTATCTTTAGGCCTAGAGGGCCTGTCATGCTGTTTGCAGCAGTCACTGAGTAATTCATGGTTCTGTTAGATCACTGGCTGAATTTCTCGTGGACTCTCTGTATTTTGTCGCTTAATCTTTCTTCATCAATCTCTGGTCTAGCATTTAATCCAATGTGGGCCATAAACTGAGATGACAGCTCGAAGTCTGTTGGTTTCCCCAAAACTTAGTTGTCAAGTCTGCTGGATGAGGCAGCATTCTGCTTCACAGCTGCTTCAGGAGAGGACAGTTTTGCAAGACATGTTCTATGGTTGGTTCAGTAAGAAGACACTGACAGAGAGCTGTTTGGCTCATGTCTAATTTATATGAGTGTTTACTGAGTCTCCAATATCTAGTTTCTAAATGTGTTTCTCTGTGAACAGTATCTCATGGGCACTCTATTCTGGCAGTGAGTCTGCAGTTAACATCTTCTATTTCAATGATTATCATTGTGGCCTGCTGCTACAAAAGTGAAATTCTGCAGAGGACCTCTTACAAAATGGTGGTCCATCAGGAACATTCAGTCATTGTGGACTGCCTCGGAATAACTGGGACAAGTCTGAAGAAGATGGATATGCTTAAGTACTTAGGTACTCTTATAACAGGAGATGAAAACTGTATCATGTAGAATAGCTCAAGCTAAAGCAACATTTTGCAGGATAAAGAATATTCTGTACAATTTATTTTTGTCATCTGAAGTGAGAAAGAGAGTTTAAAAAAACTGTATAATACTAATCTACCTGTATGGGTTTCGTGCCACCTGGGGGTGGGGGGGGGCGGGGGGGGGGGGGAGTTTGGATCGATCTTCTGCCTCTCTAACAAGCATTTCGTGCAAGGCAACTAATTTGAGGAGTTTCCATTGAAGTCAGAGTGCATCTGCCTAAGATGCGAGCATTTCAACAGTCTGCTTAACAAATATGTTAGATCTGTAAAACTGATGTGCACACAAAACTCAGGTTCTGGAACAAGACTAAAGTCCAGAAGTGGATGAACAACCAGAACTTTCTGCTGGAGTTTAACAGCCAGTTAACACAAAAAGAAGAACATATATTACTGTAGGTAGAAACAGTAAACCTCCAGACTTGAACATGTATTACTGTAGGTAGGAAGCAGTAAACCTCCAGACTTGAACATGTATTACTGTAGGTAGGAAGCAGTAAACCTCCATACTTGAACATGTATTACTGTAGGTAGGAAGCAGTAAACCTCCAGACTTGAACATGTATTACTGTAGGTAGGAAGCAGTAAACCTCCAGACTTGAACATGTATTACTGTAGATAGGAAGCAGTAAACCTCCAGACTTGAACATGTATTACTGTAGGTAAGAAGCAGTAAACCTCCAGACTTGAACATGTATTACTGTAGGTAAGAAGCAGTAAACCTCCAGACTTGAACATGTATTACTGTAGGTAAGAAGCAGTAAACCTCCAGACTTGAACATGTATTACTGTAGATAGGAAACAATAAACATCCACACTTGAATATGTACTGCTGTAGTTGGGAAGCAGTATACATCCAGGCTTGGATGTGTATTATTGTAGGTAGTACAGCTTATACAAGAATGAGTTTTAAAACTATACCTGTATGGGACTGAAAAGTTTAAATTGTATTTTATGTTTCCAGTTCTTATGTGGTCAGTTTTCATCTGCTAAAAGCATCTGTGAAGAAAGATGGCATAAGTTCTCTCATTGTTTGCAGGTTGAAGGCTGAAGATAGTGGGGAAGAGGAGGAGGAGACATTCAGACCAGCTCCGGTAGATTTATTTAAATGTTAATACTTTGTATTTTGTCTTTTTATATAGTTTGTGTTTTTGGTGGCTAGACCTGATCACAAACACTAAAGTATTTAGAAAAAAACAGGTTTTATTCCAGCAGTATTCTTTCATCTTTAAAGGCTCAGATGGCTTAAACACACTCACAGGAAGCCAGAGTCCCAAAGGACATCCTATATCAGGGCTGTTGGGATAAGTTTACTCTGAGGTCTAAATGTTAACAATGGGTATTGTCACAGGCCAGATGTAGAAAGATCATTAATACAAAATGGTTGAAAATGATCCACAGGCCACTTGCTGGACCTCAGCCTCTTGTGGACCGATTTGTAGAAGATATCTGGTTTGGTCTCTATTACAGTTGAAAGATTTGTGCCAGCGGGATGTGGATGATACAGGTATTGAGATAAGTTCATGAGAACAGGATGCCATTGATTGGAGAGGAGTAGGAACAGAGGAGGGAATAATTGCACATAAGTTAAGAGCAGCCAACTTTCATTGTGGAGACAGCGTTAAATTTATTTACTTTATTCTCCCCGTGGGGGCGGGGTTCAGGAGCTTCATTTTGGACAACAAAGAATAGACCCACTACTCCCTAACAAGCATGTTGCTAGAGATGACAGATTGTTTCCTTCAAAGTTGGAATGCATCTGCCTGAGAGGCCAGGAACCAACAGTCCATCTTGTAAAACATGTGCACGCATAACTCAGATTTTGGAACTGGCAACAGACTCAAGTCCAAAAGTGTGAACAGTCAGAAATTTCCGCTGGAGTTTCTTCAAAAATGACCTTGGCTCCCAGGTCAACCCAGCCTTGAGTGGGTACCGGGTGCAGTCCTGGAGAGGCGGCAGGCATGATGCTGACCACATCACCCATCTTGTGCCGTTGGTCTATAAAATATAGGTCTTGCCCTATATACCCTATATGCCTAAAGGCGTGGAAAAGGGTCCTTTATTTACTTACTTACTTGAATTTCGGCTTCCCGGGGCATGCTAGGAAGAGGGAGAGAGAAACCCTGGTACATCAAGAATTAGGGAATGTGTCCACTAAGGACTCCTTCTGCTCTAAGAGACACAGTAAATCTAATAATATTTACTTCTGGTCTTATTATGTATTATGTGGTCCTTTGTTAGGGGCAGTAAGTGCTGTTCTCTGATTGTCCTTGTTGTTTCAACAGATACCAGGAGAAGGAGAACACCCTCTACAATACAACTATGCCTTGTGGTTTTCCAGAAAGTCACAGACCAACAAAACAGTCCGATACGATCAGAACCTCAAGTTTATTGCTTCATTTGCATCGGTTGGTGTTACGCACATTTTTTGTTTATTTTGTCACCAGTGATCGTGCAGTTTTCGGATGATTTATTTCTGGAACCTCCATGTTCTTTTAAAATTGTCAGGTTTCTACTTCCTCTCACCCTTAATCTACTTTTTCTTATTATTTTACTTTTTCTCTTTCTGCTTCTCATTTTTCTTCTGCATTCTTTTCTTTGGCTACCTTTTATTTACTAGTATCCCCATAGAGGTTTCGGGGCTCCATTTTGAGAACAGAGAATAGACTGACTGCCCCCCCCCCCCCCCATAAGTATGTCATGAGACGTGACTAATTAGGAGTGTTTGCTTCAAAGTCAGAGTGTACCTGCCTGAGAGACGAAGAACCAACAGTCTGCATACAAATAAGCAGGGTCTCAAAAAAGAATGTGCATGCAAAGCTTAAGTTCTGGAGCAAAACCAAAGTATAGAAGTTGATAAACACCTAGAACTTTCTGCCGGAGTTAACAGTCAGTGAACACAAAGATCTCCCACTGGAGCATGGGCCATCACCAACTCAGGCCAGGCCTTTATTTCCCTCTGTAGACTTGCTCCTAGGAGGTCACCAATCTCATTCCAGGCGTCCTTAGTGGCCTGTTAACTTTTTTCAGCAGCAGACAACACACCATGCATTTCTTTGTGTTTCCAAAGCTAATAATAGAATGTTCTTAATGTCTTCCAAAGTCAAGAAGTGGACAAACAACCCGAACTTTCCGCTAAAGTTAACAGCCAGGAAACGCTAAGGAGAAGAAGAATTTTTAGTGGACTGACAGATTTGCTGCTCTTCTTTCTCTTAATCTTATCATCCCACTTGTAACACTGCGTATCTCTTACTCAGCAGCCTTCTGCTTTTTCTCTCTGTAAAGGTTTTTATGAGTGTCAGATCTCTTTTTTGTGGCCAAAGTATGTTTTATATCTTTTACTTCTTTAGTTGTCAGTAAAATGTGTGTTGTGTTGTGTTGTTGTTTATCATCCATCACATGTGATGATGACCAGTCCTTTCATCCAATGGTGTCTGGGTTAGGTTTTGTGAGTGTGCTGGTGGCTGAAAAGGCTAATTCTAGCACTGAAAGCTCTTGAGCAGTGTCGACAGGGAGTAGAAGCCGCATCTCTCTGGTGATTTGCTTCAGTGTCTTTCCTGGCTTGTCTTTTCTGAGCTGCTGCTGCAGTTCTAGCAGCTTCATGGGCCACAGCTCCTCGTTGAAGAGAGGAGCCCCAGGATGAGCGCTCACAGGCATCGACTTGCCAGGTTTTAGGATAAATACATGTCTTTCTGTGAGGTCTTGAGGCTGTCCTTGAAACGTTTCTTCTGTCCACCTTGAGAGCGTTTTCATTTTAGTAGCTCACCAGAGAAAATCCTTTTTTTGGCAGTCGGTGGTCAGGCATGCCGACTATATCACCCGCCTAGTGAAGTTGTGATTGTTTTAGAATCGAGTAAATACTGGACAGTCCAGCTCTGTCAGTCAGGGACTTCAGTGTCAGGGATCCTGTCTTGCCATTTTATGTTCAGCAACTTTCTGAGGCATACTGTGTGAAACTAAAATGTGTACACAGTTTACAAACAACATGTTTCTAGTCCTCCTTTGGTGGTTATTTCTTAGGTAGAACTGTTTTCATTTGTGGATTCATTGTTGTTTATTTCCATGTGCAGCTGCTGTTTCTCTGTTAAGTATTTCATCTAGAGCTTTTTTGTTGGTGCGTGTACTCATTGTTAGCTGTGTGTGAATATTGATGAACTGTTTCTCTGTTTAACCTCTCAGGCAGTTCTTATATGTGGAAACATTGTTTATAAGCTTCAAGTACAGCTGTCGATTAACTGTTTCTCTGTTTAGCCTCACATGTAGTACTTGCATGTGGATCCATTGTTTATTAGTTTTAAATACAGCTGTCGATAAACTGTTTCTCTAACCTTTCAGTTAGTTCTTGTTTGTGAATCCATTGTTTATTAGTTTCAAGTGCAGCTGTTGATGAACTGTTTCTCCTCTGTTTAAACATCCCCGCTAGAGTTTTTATATTTGTGTACTCATTGTCTTGTCTGCCATGTACAAATGATCATGAGCTGTTACTATTGGACTGCTAGGGTAGAATTTTTGTATGTGCCCATTGTTTGTTAGCGGCATATAGAGCTGTCGATGAGCTGTTTATCTTTCCAGCCTTTCAGCCAAAGTTCTCTCATATCTGTGTACCCATTGCTAAGCCTGAATTCCATCTACAGCTGATCTTGAGCCTGCTTTCTGTTTTACCTCTCAGGTAGAGCAGTTCTGGAACATCTACAGTTACATTGTGAGGCCAGGTGACATGTCTGGCCATGTCGACTACCATCTGTTCAAGGAAGGGATCCGACCGATGTGGGAGGTATTCACACATTTTTTTGTATGTTTTTTTGTTTTTATTGGTTGTACCATTTAGAATCAGACTTCAGCTGTAGGAGATAGATATAAAGAATTGTCATCATTTGAAGCAGATGGCCAAGTGGTTAGAAGTTTTGCATTCCTACGGGAGACCCAGTTTCAACCCTCGTTGAGGAACACGATTTTTGTTTCTGTTGGGGACATATACAAAGTCTAACCTGCACAATCCATGACGACTGCTCTAGCCATTTGGCTCTAAATCCTCAGGCTCATGACCCACCCCCTCCTCTGCATCATCAAGTGGTGAATAAAGGCAGTTTAAAGGTATAAGAATCTGTAGCTATGACTACATATTTTATGTAATGTTTAGCCTGAGGTTACCCACAGGGAGAGTGCATTTTTGAAATTGTTTGTGTTGACACCTTGTCCGTCTTTCCAGGAGATAGTGTTTTATTGTGCACTTGGGAGGCCTGAGAATCACAGGCCATGATAATGGGCTTTTGAGGCCAGGGATGTTCCTTCTGTCCATAGCACAAATATGTGCTGCCCATATTGCATGATCCCTGCCTCAGCCTGCCTTGTTTACTCCAGAAAGAAAGATAAGACCATCAGTTGCCAGATCAGAGGAACGGTGCTTTGTCAAAGCTATCCACCTAGACCAGCTATCAGCCAAGGCTAAGGGCCTGGTCTGCCTTGCCGCAACATTCTATGTTGCTTTTCCTCAGCAAAGGATTTGTCTAATATCTGCCTCTATGTGCTCCTCCGCCTGTAGTTGTTACTACAGTGTGGGATGTCAGTTTCAAGTGTTTGTACAGGATATATATAACTATATTTAGCGGTTTGAGGTTTTCCACAATGGATCAGCATCATGGCACAAGGGTGTGAAACATAAGTGCTCCGTGTTTCTTCTAACTCAAGTGTGAGTCCGAAGAAGCTCAGCACAGTGCACTGGCTGTGTAGCACCAGCGAGAATCCTGAAATACTTTAGGTAGATTTTTAACTCCAGATTTTGCCCGGGCAGCGCCATTAGGCTACTCTTTTCAATTTCCAACTACCTAATGATTTTTTACGTGCGCAACAATGCACATGGATGTCCGATCTCACTACCCAGAGACCAGGGGGAATTACTAGAAGTCCAGGATCACGTGAAAAAATCCCAGCTTTTACCGGATATTGAACCCAGAACCTCTAGCACTCAAGGCGCACACCATGCCTCGAGACCACACAGCCCCCTAATTATATTTAGAAAGAAGACTGATAGAAGGAGGGTGTGTGATCACACACACGTATACAGTATATTATGAAATGCTTAGTCTGAGTTTTTTCAATGACAGTGAGAATTTAATTTTTGTAATGGATTTATGTAGGATGAAGCCAATAAACATGGTGGGAAGTGGGTGATACGTTTAAAGAAAGGTTTGGCATCAAGATGTTGGGAGAACCTCATCCTGGCCATGCTTGGTGAGCAATTTATGGTTGGGGAAGAGATCTGTGGCGCAGTGATCTCTATCAGATTTCAGGTTGGTACAACATTCATTACCATGATTTGGTTTCAGTTTTTATTTTTGTTTTTAATGTGAAAGGGTAGCTGGGAAATTGTGTTGTGGTTTACAGCAAAGCTGCAATATCTGTGCCTTTCAGCCCAAAACATCTTTTACTTACAGTGTTTTATATGTGTGTGTATGTATATATATATATATATATATATATATATATATATATATATATATATATATATATATATATATATATAATATATATATATATATATATATATATATATATATATATATATATATATATATATATATATATATATATATATATATATATATATATATATATATATATATATATATATATATGTGTGTGTGTGTGTGTGTATATATATATGTGTGTGTGTGTATATATATAGTATTAGGAAACCCGTTTGTGATGATGTTGAAACCCCCACTAAGACTAAGACATCTTTTATTTCAGCTGACTTCTAACTAGTTGCCTTTCAACAACATGCTTGTTGGGTGGGTGTTCCCCCCTCCCAATCCTGAAAATGGTGTTTCAGAAGCTGCATGCAGAGTTTGTTTTCAATTCCCCGTAGTGAAAATATACTGACAGAGAATGGATTGCTGGAAAGTACACTTGCAGAGTGATTGCTAGACAGTACACTTGCAGAGTATGGATTGCTGGAAAGTACTCTTGCAGAGTGATTGCTAGACAGTACACTTGCAGAGTATGGATTTCCCAAAAGTACACTTACACAGTACGGATTGCTGGAAAGTACACTTGCAGAGTATGGATTGCTGGAAAGTACACTTACAGAGTATGGGTTGCTGGAAAGTACACTTACAGAGTAAGGATTTCCCAAAACTACACTTGCAGAGTATGGTTTGCTGGAAAGTACACTTGCAGAGTACGGATTGCTGGAAAGTACACTTGCTGAGAATGGATTGCTGGAAAGTACACTTACAGAGTATGGATTTTCCCAAAAGTACACTTGCAGAGTATGGATTGCTGGAAAGTACACTTGCGGGGGGGAGAGTGCAGAGTATGGATTGCTGGAAAGTACGCTTACAGAGTATGGATTGCTGGAAAGTACACTTGCAGAGTACGGATTGCTGGAAAGTACACTTGCAGAGTATGGATTGCTGGAAAGTACACTTACAGAGTATGGATTGCTGGAAAGTACACTTACAGAGTATGGATTGCTAGAAAGTACACTTACAGAGTATGGATTGCTGGAAAGTACACTTGCAGAGTACGGATTGCTGGAAAGTACAGAGTATGGGTTGCTGGAAAGTACAGAGTATGGATTGCTGGAAAGTACACTTGCAGAGTATGGATTGCTGGAAAGTACACTTACAGAGTATGGATTGCTGGAAAGTACACTTGCAGAGTATGGATTGCTGGAAAGTACACTTACACAGTACGGATTGCTGGAAAGTACACTTGCAGAGTATGGATTGCTGGAAAGTACACTTACACAGTATGGATTGCTGGAAAGTACACTTGCAGAGTATGGATTGCTGGAAAGTACACTTGCAGAGTGATTGCTAGACAGTACACTTGCAGAGTATGGATTTCCCAAAAGTACACTTACACAGTACGGATTGCTGGAAAGTACACTTGCAGAGTATGGATTGCTGGAAAGTACACTTACAGAGTATGGGTTGCTGGAAAGTACACTTACAGAGTATGGATTTCCCAAAACTACACTTGCAGAGTATGGTTTGCTGGAAAGTACACTTGCAGAGTACGGATTGCTGGAAAGTACACTTGCTGAGAATGGATTGCTGGAAAGTACACTTACAGAGTATGGATTTCCCAAAAGTACACTTGCAGAGTATGGATTGCTGGAAAGTACACTTGCAGAGTATGGATTGCTGGAAAGTACACTTACAGAGTACGGATTGCTGGAAAGTACACTTGCAGAGTACGGATTGCTGGAAAGTACACTTGCAGAGTATGGATTGCTGGAAAGTACACTTACAGAGTATGGATTGCTGGAAAGTACACTTACAGAGTATGGATTGCTAGAAAGTACACTTACAGAGTATGGATTGCTGGAAAGTACACTTGCAGAGTACGGATTGCTGGAAAGTACAGAGTATGGGTTGCTGGAAAGTACAGAGTATGGATTGCTGGAAAGTACACTTGCAGAGTATGGATTGCTGGAAAGTACACTTACAGAGTATGGATTGCTGGAAAGTAGACTTGCAGAGTATGGATTGCTGGAAAGTACACTTACACAGTACGGATTGCTGGAAAGTACACTTGCAGAGTATGGATTGCTGGAAAGTACACTTACACAGTACGGATTGCTGGAAAGTACACTTGCAGAGTATGGATTGCTGGAAAGTACACTTACACAGTACGGATTGCTGGAAAGTACACTTGCAGAGTATGGATTGCTGGAAAGTACACTTACAGAGTATGGATTTCCCGAAAGTACCCTTGCAGAGTATAGATTGCTGGAAACTAATGAATATTGTTTTTGCCAGGCTGTAATGAATGTTGTTTTAGCCAAATGTAATGAATTATGTTGTTTATATCTAGGTATAATGAACATTGTTTTTGCCAAATGTAAAGAATATTTTTTTTTGCTAAGTTGTTATGAATGTTGTTATTTATGTCAAGATGAAATGAATATTATTGTTTATGTCAGAATGTAATGATATTATTGTCTATGTCGAAATATAATTAATGTTGTTCGTGTCAAAATATAATGAATGTTTTTGTCAAGATATAATGAATGTTGTTGCTTATTACTGGAAGTAATCATTGTTGCCTGTGCTTGTAACATCCAGGATGATATCCTGTCCCTGTGGAACCGCAGCAATGACCCAGGCATCGTTTCTCGCATCAAGGACACTCTCCAACGTGTGCTCAACCTGCCGCCCAACACTATCATGGAATACAGGGCTCATACAGACAGCATGAAGTATGTTCACTGTTTTCTATCTGCGTTGTGAATCTCATTTTATTAAGTTGAAACCAGTGTGGGCTCCAGGGCCCCATTTGGTGGTGGGGGGGGGGGGAGAATAGACCTACTGCCTCCCTAATGAGATGTCAAACTAGGTGACTAATTAGGGGAGTTTCCTTCAGTCATAGTGCATCTGCCTAAGACACGAGAAACTAACAGTCTGCATATTAATATAAATTTTTTTTTTAAAGCAAAATCTGTAAAACAGATGTGTTTGCAAAACTCAGGATCTGGAAATACGACCAGGGTTCACAGCCAGTGAATGAAGAAGAAAATAGTACAAGGCTCATACAGACAGCCTGAACATATGTTCATCATGATGTGTCTATGAGCATTTTTTTCTACACTGTGTCATCTTTCATTTTAATACTCGTAAAAGGCGCATCTCGTTCAGACAGCATGTTGTATATTCCCTGTTTTCTTTCTGTTTGTTGTATCTTATTGTATGTTCTAATATCTTTTCAAGTGTTCTGTGTGTTCTAGATCTCTACCAGCAGTTTGAATTATATGCCAGTGAAATTTGGAGAACCACTAAAGACACGGAGCGAAAGTTAAATGCACTCAAGAACAAATGCCTAAGGAAACTAATATTAAATGGGATGAATTCAAGAAAACTGTTGAAGGGATCAGAGAAATTTCTGGACAACCGCTTGTATCATCAATTATAAAACATCCCCATGTTGGTTCTGGGGCCCCATGTGGGAAAAACAAGAATAGACCCACTGCTTCCCCAACAAGCATATCGTAGGAGTCAACTACTTGGGGGCTTCCTTTGAAGTTATAGTGCATCTGCCTGAGAGGCAAGGAACCAATGTTCTGCATATTATTAAGTCAGATCTGTTAAACTGATTTGCACGCAACACTTAGGTTTTGGAACAAGACTAAAGTCCAGAAGTGGACAGACAACTAGAACTTTCGGCCAGAGTTTACAGCCGGTGAATATGAAGAAGAAAAACAGTTATAAAACAAAGAAGATTTCAAGGTATTGGACAATACCCTGTGAGGGTTCTGGGACTCCATTTTGGAGAACAAAGAGTAGATCCGCTGCTTCCCTAACAACATGTCATAGGACATGACTAATTAGTGGTGGTTCCTTCAAACTCTGTGTACATCTGCCTAAGAGATGTGGAACCAACAGGCCGAATATAAATAAGCTGTATCTGTAAAAACTGGAGTTGCATGCAGAGCTCAAGTTCAGCAATAAGGTCAAAGTCCAGGAGTGGAGGAACAACCAGAATTTTCTGCCAGAGTTGACACCTGGTGAATGCTGAGAAGAAGAAGAAGAAGAGATAGGGGCCTCACGACTTAGTCCCACAGTCAGCAGTGGAAACATTGCAGTCAGCTTCCATTCTAGAGGCAGCAGTTTGTTTTTGGCTTAGGATTTGAAAACACAGTGGGGGAAAACAAAAATTACCCCCGCTGCCTGCCCAAAAACATGTCGTACGAGTTGACTAATTGGGGGCTTCCTTGGAAGTCGGAGTGCATCTCTCTGAGAGGCAAGGAACCAACAGTCTGCATGCATGATGAGTCAGACCTATGAAACTATGATGTGGATGAACAACCAAAACTTTATGGCCACCGTTTACAGCCGGTGAAGTCGGAGAAGAAGAGTTTGTAATTCCAAGATGCCCGGTTCTGTTCCAGCTGTGGGCAGTTTGGCAGCAGACGTGGATTTCGGCAGTAGTATCGAGAGCTAACCACCCAGAAAGTAATGGCAAACTACCGAACATAACAGTTGCCTTTTGAAACCGCAAATAGCCAACAAATACTAGAGTTGATTTACAATGTCCTAGAAAGGTTACACAACTAACTAACCTAGTCATTTGTGAATGTAATAATGTGAAGCTGTCGAGTTCTATTGTTCTTTTCTTTTTCTTTCTCATGTTTACTGTTTTTAAACTTCGGCGAAAAGTTCTGGTTTTTCGCCCACTTCTGGACTTTAGTCCTGTTCTGGAATTTGAGTTTTGAGTGCACATTTGTTTTACAGATCTAGCTTATTTTTATGCAGACTGTTGTTTCTTTATGTCTCAGGCAGATGCACTTTGACTTCAAAGGAAACCCCCAGTTAGCCGACTCTGACAACATGCTTGTTAGTAAGCTAGTGGGTCTGTTTCCTATGTCTTCGTGCCGCCGTGGTCTAGCGTCTAGACGCTCGCCTGCGGATTGGAAGGTCGTGGGTTTGGTTCCTGACGTGGACCAGACTTTTTTGCCCGGCTCTCTAGCGTAGTTGGCTAAGCCGGATTGCTCGGTGAGCGGGTGACGAACTCCTTGTGGTCCGGGTTCACTCCCGGGGGTGGGCAGAAAAGCCACATTTCTCCCAGATTTACAGTATTTAAAATGGAATCAAGGCCGAAAGGTTCCGATATCCACAATACCGAGCCTAAGGGTTAACAACTCATGGCTTCTGGATACTAAAACAAACACAAACATCCTATGTCTTCCGCTCCCGGAATTCACACAGAGAATGTTTTTTTTGGTGTGATATCTTTCCGTGATAATTTTTTAACTTATGGTGTCTTAATTTTTTTTTTTTACAGGGACAACACAAGTTTCAGGACTACAGACCATTTTAAGAGATGACAGTTACCAGAAATCCTATGATACCTGCTTAATTCTTCTTTTTTTGAATAACTTTGAATATTGACAAGTGCCATTATCAGCTGTTGCACAGGTTGAGTTACCTCCCATGGACAGAATTTGTTTCTTACTGGTAGAGTTATCTTACATAAATCAGATTGTTTTTCACTGGTAGAATTACTTCACATAAATAAGATTGTTTCTCACTGGTAGAATTACTTCACATAAATAAGATTGTTTCTCACTGGTAGAATTAGTTTACATAATTAGTAGCACCAAGCATATAGAATTGTTTCTCAAAGGTAGAATTATTTTATAGATAGGATTATTTCTCACTGGTAGAGTTACTTCGCATCTGTTGAAACTATTTCTGCCAGTTAGAATTATTTCTCATGGATAGAATTACTTTTCCCACATGTAATTCCCACAGATAGAATTACTTTACACAGATGCAATTTTTTTTGTCCAGGTAGAATAATTTATCATAGTTAGAATGACTTCACAGATATAATTATTTCTCACGGATAGAAACACTTCACACAGGTTTGTTTCTCATGGGTGGAATTACTTCACACTGGTTTGTTTCTCATGGGTAGAATTACTTCACACAGATAGAATTGTTTCTCAGAGGTAGAAGAACTTCACATGTAAAGAATTCTGTATTAAAGTCAAATTATTCTTGTCTAGATGGCAGGAGCAAGAATATTTTCCATTGTTAATCTACCAGAGTTGCATTATAACTTTCATAATTCATACAGTAACTTGTCATGTACAGAACTTAGTCTTTCAAACTGTCTCTGTATGATAAGTCAGAAATGTTTTTTTTTTTTCTATTGCTGTCGTGTTAGATATACTATAGCTTCAACTAAGATTTACCATAGGGTTTTCTATTTCTCTAGCTTATTAGATTTACCACAGTCACTATTGAAAATTTATCACAGTTGTGAGTTAGGTTTGGTAGAGGTCAGATGGACTATAGCTTCACCTAAGATTTACCATAGGGTTTTCTATTTCTCTAGCTTATTTGATTTACCGCAGCCACTATTGAAAATTTATCACAGTTGTGAGTTAGGTTTGGTAGAGGTCAGATGTACTATAGCTTCACCTAGGATTCACCAAAGAGGTATTATACTTCTACAGCTAGTTGAGATTTACCGCAGCCACATATAGAACTGCATTCAAAAAAGAGGAGATGGATGAAGATCACTAGGTAGACCTAGAACAAAATGGAAGGATAACATGAAATTCTACAAACAGCATGATGTGTCTAAAGTTTAGCTAGCAAGAAGCAAAACCTTATATCTCCCTTGACCTCTGAAGCGCTAAAAGAGGAAGTCAAGAAAAAAAAAAGACAAAAGAAGACATGTGGAATTAATCACAGTTGTGACTTTGGTCGAGGTTAGATTTACTAAAGCTTCATCTCATATTGACCCCAGAAGTATTATATTTCTACAGCTAGTTAGATTTACCGCAGCCATGTTGCTATATACATAAGAAAGAGACAAACACTGTTCTTTGGCCACATAATGAGAAAAGAGTCATAGGAGAACATTGCGACAACTGAAAAGATCAATGAAAAAAGGGGTAGAGCCAGATTAAGAGAGATGATGCTGGATGGGCTGAAACGATTGCATGGAGGGATATCATCAAGAGAGCTGTTCCAGGCAAACAGGTATCATGATTTGTGGAGACGCATGAGTGCCTATGCCAGTTGGCAGGGCACATGATGATGATGTATAACATTCATTCCTGTTCTGTAATTATAAAGGTTAGATATGCTATAGTAGAGCAGTTGTTGTGGCCACTATGACCCATTCTAGTTATGGATACATTGAGCCACCACTCCCCCCCCCCCCTATTTTTGCTGTCTTCTTCCTTCCTTTTCCAGCCATGTATAGTTGTTCTCTTTTTAGATTTTCAACCTATTTCAGCCTGCAAGTGGCCCATGAATCATTACCAATTGTATTGTATTAATGATGTTTCTGTGTAGGGGCTTTGGCCTATGACAGTCCTTATTTTCAACATTTTGTAGTTTGAGTAAACTTAGTTAAATAGCCCTGTGCTACAGCTAGGATTACTATTACAGCTAGGATTACTACTACAGCTGGATAACAGCAATGGTAATACTAGAGCTGAGTGTTAAATTGACTACTGCTGCGAGTTGGGTTCATTACTTGTTAAATCTACCAGAACTATATCTTAGTTTCACCATATTGACCTACCTGCCACTGGCAGTGGTGGTATTGATAGAAATATGTTTAATCTTTAGAAAAGAAATTTGAAATTATTTCACAGACAATTTGCCATATTGGCTGCAAGTGTTGGTCTTTTGGTCTGACAATGAGAACCTTAGAAGTCAGTATAAAAACATTTATTGTAAGTACCTTGTCTGATGTTGCTGTTTATATCGACACAAGATGCTGTTGTTGCCAGAGAGGAGGATGCCATGTTCATGGTAGGAGTGAAGATCGGGTAAATGTGGGACTGCCTGCAGTGCACTAAACATGTGGTTGTCATGGTGTGCACAGAGGCCACATGAACTACCTGGAAGTAAGGGAAGTGAGCTCAGGTTGTGAGTCGGCTGAGGGCAGTCATTGACTGGATGTCCTAGCGGCCAGTCTGGACAAACTGCAGTGTGGCCACGCCACATGAGTAGTGGTTTCAGTTTTTGTGTTATATAGAGTTAGCTAATATACTGAGTTATTTAGAATGATGTAGGAAAATACAGTTGATAGTAACAGAGCTGAACTTTTTGTATGTACATCAGACTTTCTCTCGGGGGAATTGGGACCATATTCTGATAGTTTGTTCTCATCGTATCACCATTATTGCAGTGCTAATGTGCTTTGAGTGTGTCAACTAGGAATAATAAAAGAACAGGCCAGAGCTGTACTTGATCTTTGACATGGTTTTCTGCAGGGTCTGGATAAGATGTCTAAAAAAACTGTTTTCTCATGTGGTCCGCATGAACTTGTTTTTTTGTTTTGTTTTGTTGCAGGCATTTGTTGTGGCTCCTGTGGTCTATTCTGGTTAGAGACACATTGAGCCACCCCCCCCCCCCCCCCAATTTTTGCTCTCTTCTTCTTTCCTCTTCCAACCATGTATCAATATTTTCTTTTTAACTTTTTGTTTATCCATATCATTATTTTAAATATATTTTTGGTGGGGCCGTCTAGCATATTATTGTTATTATGGGCATATTAGACCAAGCTTAGATATTTTGAGGCCCCCTCTCCCCGTTTCTTTCCCCCCCCCCCCCCCCCATTTTTTAGGGTGTTTGTGTGTTTAATAATATAACAATTTTTAAAAGAACTGAGGTCTCCCCACCCACTTCCCATATCCCAATGTTGTCTTTGTGTCAGCGCCCCAGGTTCTGGCAGCTCTCCAGATCCTCTCTCCCTGTTACAGCTTGTGAGAATGTATTTCATAGCTCCTGTGTAGGTCTGCAGTCATTGATTCTCTCCCCCTGTTACATCTTGTGAGAATGTATTTCATAGCTCCTGTGTAGGTCTGCAGTCATTGATTCTCTCCCCCTGTTACATCTTGTGAGAATGTATTTCATAGCTCCTGTGTAGGTCTGCGTCATTGATTCTCTCCCCCTGTTACAGCTTGTGAGAATGTATTTCATAGCTCCTGTGTAGGTCTGCAGTCATTGATTCTCTCCCCCTGTTACAGCTTGTGAGAATGTATTTCATAGCTCCTGTGTAGGTCTGCAGTCATTGATTCTCTCCCCCTGTTACAGCTTGTGAGACTGTATTTCATAGCTCCTGTGTAGGTCTGCAGTCATTGATTCTCTCCCCCTGTTACATCTTGTGAGAATGTATTTCATAGCTCCTGTGTAGGTCTGCGTCATTGATTCTCTCCCCCTGTTACAGCTTGTGAGACTGTATTTCATAGCTCCTGTGTAGGTCTGCAGTCATTGATTCTCTCCCCCTTTTAGCGAAGTTGGCCTATGGTTACTACTTTACTGATGCCCTCTTCCCGTTATAGCTTGTTGATTTTCTTTACGGATGCTATCAAGACTGTTGTATATAGTGGTGCATAGGGGCATCTCTAATGAATACAATCCTCTTGTGTGTGATTAACATTCTTTTGATCCTCTCTTTGGTGTAGGTAGTTTGTATGTTGTGTGCAAATCTTTTCTTCTTTATGCAGTTTACATGTTGTGGTTTCTCTGCAGATATTCCCTTCCTTTTAGATATGCTGTTTCCTGTGTGGGTTCCGGGGCTTCATTGTGGGGAAAGCAAGAATAGACTCAGTGCCTCCCCTAACAAGCATGTCATAGAAGTTGACTAATTGAGGACATGCTACGAAGTCAAGAGTACATCTGCCTGAGAGGCAAGGAACCACAAGTCTGCATACATACAAGCCAAATCTGTGAAGGATGTGCATGCAGCACTCAAGTTCTAGAACAAGACCAAAGTCCAGAAGTGGACAAACACCCAGAGCTTTCTGCTGCAGTTTACAGCCAGTGAATCCAAAGAAGAAGAAGATGTACAGTGACTGTTCATCGATTCATTGTTCCAGTTGTAGATATCTGGCCTTCAACTGTCACCCTGCTGATTCACCTTTCTAATTATCTGTGTAATTTGTTTTTCATTTCTCTAAGTTTGTTCCTGGTGTAATCATTTCTGTGGCTCTGTGCTCACTATATTTCTTCATTATTGTTCTGAGTAAGTTGGTACCATAATATTCTTGTCGAATGGCTATGGCTGGGGGGGGGGGGGGGGGGGGGGCTGTATTGTCTCGAGGCATGGTGTCCGCCTCGAGTGCTAGAGGTTCCGGGTTCAATCCCCGGTAAGGGCTGGGATCGTTTCACGTGGACTTGGGACTTCTAGTAATTCTCCAGGTCTCTGGGTAAGGAGATCGGGTGCCCGTATGTATTGTTGCGCTTTAAAAAAAATCCCTCGGCAGTTAGAAATTGAAAAAAGTAGCCTAATGGCGCTGCCTGGGCAAAATTTGGAGTTGAAAATTTATCCAAAGTATTTTAGGATCCTTGCTGG